GCATGTTTTATTCTGTCATCTGCCCCACACACTCTATTCAATACAATTTTTTCTTCTTTGTATTTTTTTTTATATTGCGTGCTTCCTACAAACGGAAAACATTCTCCAGGGGAGAGCTGGGCAGAGCACTGGCTGCAGCTCTGTCTAGGTGCACGGGGTACCATTTCCTGCTGCAGCAGAGGCAGCCTCTCCCAATAGTAGCTGATACTGTCCTGGCCCCATATGTGGCTTGCAGGAGCATCAGATGAGCTCTATGTGGTGAGTTAAAATGGTACTCTCACTTACTGCTGAGAGCAGGAGAAAAGGATGCTGCTTTGTGACTCAGTGTGGACCACCTGATGTGTGCATTGTGTGGAGAAAAATGATAAACTGAATAGATGCTAAGCTGCTGTATGTAAATTGGATAATGTGGGCACAGAAGACATCAATGATCCAAACATTTTATCTTTCTAAGGCTGTAAAGATGATACAGCTCTGATGCTCAAGTATCTTCTTAACATTGTTTGAAAAGTCGAAGCTGGAAGTTTAAGAGGTGGATACACAGCAGCATTCTTAACACAGTTAATGGAAAAATATTAAGGGAAATAAATGAGACACTGTGCACAGGTCTTGTGAAAAAAAAATTGTAGGTAGTGGAGGGCTGGCAAAACTGCAGTGATGTCTACTTTCCAGTACTTGTTCCTTTTCTCTAGCAAGCAGAGCAACTCTGGATAGTTCTTCCCTCCTTATTCTTGATTGTGTGCTTCCTTGTATTTCTGTGGCTATGCAGTGGTTTGGATGAGGGAAAACTCATAATTTGGTTTATGGATCAGGTAATTTTCATTTGCGACTCGCCTCCTGGTCTAATTCACTACAGCAAAGGGAATGTGCCGTTTTTGTTGGGGACCTATACTTCCACAGGTACTGCTGATGAAACTAGAACCTGTGTCTCCATAATATGATTAGTTGCTCAAACCATAATTCAGCAAACATGATTTGCTTTTCCTTTGTGGCCTCTACTTAATTTTGCTAGTGCAAGTGTTTGCAAGTTTGCATGACAGGGAAGATAATGGAATTGATTGGAGTTTAAAATAACCATTTGTTTCTTAGGTTATTTGTAAACTAGATTAGGTACTCAATTCACCATGCAGCCCTACAAATACAGTACTGTCACAACTGAATGGATGTGTTAGGAATAGGAATGAGAGGCTGCCTATATTGGCAGTGTTGTAGAAGACTTATTTGTCAAACAATGACTTTGATTTCTTAAATTTAACATCCATTTAAAAAAGTACAGATCAAGCTGAAACAGTTGGAAGCATTGCTTCCCTAAGAGTGGTGTGTGTGTAGATGTTATGATGTCCATTTTTTTCATAGGCATGCAGAATTTTATGTGCGTGAGTGCTAGATTAAAGATACTTAAAAACTTTAAAATGGAGAGATACTCAATGGTCTGTTTCATAGCATGTAATTTAGGTCAGGGCACTGAAAACGTACTTGCTACCAGTTCTTGATCATGCTGACTGCAACATTTCTGAGAACTGAAGGGCTTCAAGGACTCTGGTTAATATCCTTAAGTTTCATGGTAACGAGTCTTCATTGTGTTATAATGAACGTAGCAGAATATGTTTCTCTTGTTTTCAATATTCTACATAGAAACAGTATTCCATAGGTTACTGAAACTACTGTAGAGAATCAGTTTGATTAGGGCCAAATTAGTATTTTTATCTTTCTCTAGAGAATTTTGGTAGGTGTGGGTATTGCTATATCCACTTGCTATAAACTTTTTGCTTGCCTTACAGTCAGGTATGAAGCATATTGGCTGGTATTTTGGTGTTCTGAAGATCAGAGTATCAGATCTTCGTCTGATGAGGGTTATATTTGAATTTGGTTTCCTGATAACTTGAAATCATGATCTTATTTGCAGAAATCCTTCTAGTTACATAGTTACATACTTGGATAGTTATCAGTGTACCATTTAGTTGTCTAAATCCATTGCTAGGTTCGAGCATGGCAGCAGTTGTAAGCAATATAATTTGATGTCCATTGGGAATATACATGTGTAGCTTGTTACATAGGAACCTATGATAAGATACCATCTCTGGAAATCTACTTTCCAAATTAAAAGTTAGATTACGTGCTAAACACAACTTACCATTTCAAGTTAAATTTTAACTGACATTTGTTGTTACATCTCCACAGGGGAACTTTAGATTTGCTGGAAGTATTCCAGACTGTTTTTCCTAGTCGTTGTGTGAGACCCAAGTTTTGAAAGTTTTTAGGGTAAACTTGATTGTTTTAAAATGCTCTCATTAATTAATTGTTGTTGTTGCTGTGGAATGGCTTGACAATAGTAGGTTCAAATAGTAATTTTAATTTGAAAATTCAACACATTCTGCATCTTTCAGTATACAGGGAGAAAGTTCAAACTTTAATTTTGCTGTGCCAAGCATGAGTACAGTTTGTTTCAGAAAATTTTGGGCTCTGTATAAAGGCATGCAGAGCAAATCATAGTTGTTCAGGTTATCAGCCAAATACACAAACTAGACCTCTCAATCAAAAGGGTTCTTGTGCTAATAACAGTTCCAAATGTGTTTATAGGATTGTTGTTTTATGAAATTTTTAATGTGTTTGAACATTGAGAAGCCAGTTCCTTGTTGGTTTGAACTGGTGTGAATGGGGGTGACTTGAATTTAGCTATTAGGTTACATCAGTGGAAGGACTAGCTCTGAACACGTATTCATATTTGTGCTGCTTTAAGCAGTAAAACCATAGCAGAGGCTCATAATTTCTGAAATGATAGATTTTTTTCCTTTTGTTCTCAAACGCTTTGGCTATTAATGAAAAAATACTGTGTTTGTTGGCTTCTACTCAGCTATTCTGGATGTACAGTGTGCTAATGTAAATCAGCAGTTTCTGCTTCTATAAATAGACTTTGTCAGCAGCTGCAGAGCAAAACTGACAAGCTTCTGGTCATTTTTATTATTGCCATTCAGAAATTGTTTGAATAGCTGTGAAAGTGTCTGGTGGTATGTATGCCTGCTGTAGTGATATTTGCATACTGAGCTGAGGTTATGAGTAGGGAGAGGGAAAGAAAGAGTGCATTTATAAGCCAACAGTGTGAGAGTAGAGGCAAAGTCTGTATTCCTTCATTCGGGAGTCCTTAAGCTGAGTTTGGAGCTCTTTTATATACAAGACATGCTATCCAGCTGGCTAAAAGTCATGAGTTCTTAAATGGGGTCTGGGAGTAGCATTTATCTAACTTCTTTGTAGCTGGATATAAGGCAGCCTTTACAAGCATGCTCTGTTGGGGAACATCATTATACTGTGCCCTGAGAAGCCGTCTCCTAAAATTTTCAGTTCCTTCTGCTGCTGGGTCTGGTTTTGTTTCTGCTGCATGGGAAAGAAACAGCCAGGCAAGAATGCTTACCTTCTACAGCATTCCTCCCCTCCTGCACCATGGTGGGAGCTCTTGTATGGCTGAACAGCAACTGCTGCTATCCTCCTTTGTAGAAGCAGACTAGGAAGTGGTACCAGTGTGGCCTGCAAGAAGAAGGAATGCTAACAGGCCAACCAAGTTACCATTGTTGTTTGTGGACACAGGAGAGGTTGCCAGGAAAGAAAAAGTGTTGAATATCTTTCCTGTGAGTGTTTAATTGAAGTCCACATGTGTGGTTTGTTTTTGGGGTGGGGTTGGTTTTTGTTTTTTTTTTTCCTTGAAAGCTAGCAATCTTCTTTTAAGAATCTTACTACAAGGTCTCAGGAAATATTTTGGGCTGTAAGAATTATTTTCCTAAAATAGAGATATGCTTACTTTTAGTGTTTCCCAAAGTACATATAATAAAACAGATGGTAGATTCAGCTTGTGCTGAAAGATACGGAATGACTTTATATTCCCCCTCTAATAAAAGCACATTTCTTGAATCTTGATACCCTACCTCTGTGAATAATATAAAAAGGAAAGGAAATTATGAAATATAGTATTATAAAGGCAGGTGGGAGTAGAGAACATTTGTCAACTGTTGCTTTAGAAACAGCACCATCAGCCTGTGAGGTGGCTAAAGATCACCTAAAAGTGAAATTCAGTGTATTCCAAAGCCTTGGAAACTGGGAAGTTTCTTAGCATCTTAATTGTATGTTTTACCAGTGCTCTAATCTGTGATCTTTGTACTGAATTAGATCTTAGTGATGTTAACTATTGTTCAAGGAGAAACACAGAACCCTGACAACTAGACTCTTAGCTTATTATTTTTAATGTTGTTTGAAATGTATGTATGTTTTTAAACTTGTAATGGATGTCTTCTGGCTTAATAGCCTAAATATTTTTAGGTGCTCTACTACTAGAAAAATGGATCATACTAATTCTTCATAGAAGAAAATACTGACAATGTGAAAAAGCACAAAACGTTTAAAAAGAAAACACGGACTTGTTCTTTTTGAAAGTGATTCCTCTCACATTTTATTCAGCTACTATTTTAAGGGAGTAATTATAGTTCATTCACTGTGAATGACCATTTGTGGCATTAATGAGGTCTAAATAATGGGGAGAGATGAGGAATATGGTATTTGGCAGATCCTTGCAGGCTGTTATGAGATCTAATTGAAGTACAAAGTTTAGAAGAACTAAATAGTCAGACTTCTTTTAATGTTTATTGCTGAAATACAGTATAAAAAGTTGTACTTTTAAGTATTTCAAGAAAAGATAAGCATGTTATATGCTAGCTTAATTCCTTTTATAAAGTATAGAAACTCTTAAAATACAAAGTTAGTATCTTTTGTGGAATGAATGGAAAGGAGGAAAAATGGTAAATTTGTTGTAAAATTAGTTTGACTTGTATAATTCTTTGTCCTTTAAAGACAGGCAAAAGGAGTTCATTCCAAGAATCTTTGTGTGAGAGACTTTACTAAATAAACCTTTTATTTCTGCTTTTAGTCAGCAGATAAGCAGCGAGCCCTGGAAGAAACCAAAGCCTACACAACCCAGTCATTAGCAAGCGTAGCCTATCTGATCAACACTTTGGCCAACAATGTTCTCCAAATGTTGGATATCCAGGCATCCCAACTTCGACGCATGGAATCTTCAATCAACCATATTTCACAAGTGAGACTTTTTCCTGATTTTGTTGTTGTTGTTGTTGTTTGTTCTTGAAATTACACAGCAAGTAAAACTCTCACCAGACATTTTGTGTATGAGAAAAATAGTTGCATTTAAAACAGAAGGATGCATTTCTTCTCATATTAATTCTGAGAATGGGTCTCATTATGTGATTGTATATCTGTGTTAATGTGAGCATTTTACATAGGATAAGAGATTAAATGTATTCTTGGCCAGTTTATTGTTTGGAGAGGAGTCCATTCTGCGTAAGTGAAAAGCACAGAAAAATTGCTGATGGAAGAGTCAGACTATTATGTTAAGGGACAGATTAAGCTTTCCAACTCCCATTTGGTGACTTACTGTACTTGGTATATATTGGCTACAGGCACTTAAAATTAGAAGAAAGAAATATGAAATGGGTGGTGGAAAACAATACTTGTCATCTTTTTACTTTTCCTGTTGCTGTAATACTGGCATCTAATGACAAAAGCACAGATGACAAAAATAGTTTGCTCCTGTCTTTTCTTAATAAAATGTACTTTGCAATGACATGAACAGAAGACTAAATTAATGTTTCAAGTTTGTGCATGACTGCAGAACTCCTGCCATTGCTTGCAGTTTTTCTGAGCAGCTACTGTTATCAGGAACTCATGTCCCATCACCACACTAATGAGAGAATTTTGACTGCCAGAATGGGCTGAAGGGTGGATGATAGATTTATTGGAGGTTTACATGCCAATGTGGATTAAAAGAGAAATTAAGAGCAATGATACAGCACTTTGTTTTTTCTGTTACTGGAGAGTTGGTTGGCATCCTTACTGGATATTTTGTGTCTTATTTGACCAATACATTTTGGCTGTTAGGGTTTCTTGATCTCCATGTGATAATGTCATAAATTAAAATAAAGAATATTGTGGTATTTAGAAAGACATTTGAAAGCAGGAGCTGTGTAAGGTAGGAAATAAGCAGATTGAGCTGATCTGTTAACTTGCTGGTACTGAAAGGGTTGCTAAGCTAGTAGAGGTTTGAACCAGCAAAAGAAGTGAATAATTTTATGCTAGCTTAATGGGCTGAATTGGCTCACTGAGGGGTCAGATGAATTCCAGAGCAGGAGCAAAGGAAGGGGTGGGGAGGATTTTCCCTTCTGGTAGTAGTATGCTATTAGATTGCCTCAGTTATCTCATGCAACTGCATCCTCAAAAATAAGCTGAGAAGTTTGATTTCTTCTGCTGCATGGGTCTTGTTAATCCATGGACAAGTCAATTCTTTTTTTTTCCCAGAAAATGTCACAAATTACTCTGTGTGTGTGTGTGCATGCACATGTGTATGTGCTATATATATGCTGTGTATGTGTGTATATGTATGTGTGTGTGCTTGTGTGTGTATGTATGTGCTTCTTGACAGGCTAGTGCCAGCTGACAAGTATTTCAACTATTTGAGAGCCTGACGCAAAAGACAGTATATCAATAAAAATATTCAGAGTTCACTGGATTTTGCATTTTATAGATGTGGAAAGTTCATTTTGTCATACAGTTTCTGTAGCTTTTGGGGAAAGGGCCATAGCATTTTAAATCTTTTCCTTCTGAGAAGCTGAGATTTATGCAGATTGAGATGCTAGGTTAGATTGTCTTTGGCATTTACACAAAATGGCTAGTTACTTAAAATGGAGCACTAAATTATCAGTGCCCAACACCTAATGAAGATGTATCTGCCAAAATTCACGGGCTGCACTTGAACAACCAAAAAAAGTTAATTTTTTTTTTAAATATAGCTGTAAAATTGAAAATTGAGGTTTGGTTTGGTTTGGTTTGAGTCTGCATCATCCATATATAGGATGCTCCCCAATCTTCATGGGAGAAATTCTATCAGAGGAGCAGACAGTATTTGAATTTTGGATATTACGTACATGAAGTGTATTGATCCAAGGAACTTAATAAAGTTGAATTCAATATGTTCAGAAATGGCTTCATCCCATGATAACAATGTTATGCTTATATTATAATTATAACCATAAGTGATGGTTATATTATCTGTCTTAATTTCAGTGGTTATTTTTCTTTAAAAAATGAATTTATCTTGTCACAGTTTCTGTGTAATAAATAATTTCTTTTCAGGAAATTTGATTATACTTCTCCTGGAACAAGCCTAACCTGCAGAAGACTTCCTCGGTCTTTTTTATGTTGGGTGTAAAGTATAGTGGACTGTTTCTAGTACCACTTAAAATGCCTCATGGTATAATACCTCATTGCCAAATAATGATTTTAGTCAGTCTGACTTGAAATGATGTCAGTAACATTGAAGAGAAAACAGGTTGGTAATTACCATCTGCTCGCAGTGCATTATTACATTAATGCTTTGGTCAGTAGGTATTGATATTTAAGTTTAGAAAACACTAATGCAAATTATGATATCTGGATGTATAATCCTGCTTTTAATTCTGATTTGGAATTCCACATATTCTCCAAAAAAGGGAGCAAAATCATTTGGCTCTTAGTAAGAAAACTTTCTCAAAAGTGCTTGTTTTGTTCAAATGTAGCTCAAACTGGAAGAGACATGATTAACTTTAGAAGATAAAATATTCTATTCATTGATAGAATGTCAATTTATATAACTTCCTATGTTTCCTTCTAAATACCAATTTAAACAAAGAATTGAAAAGGAAGCTGATAATAATTTGTGTTTTTTTCAGTTTATATATAGGTCCTGAATAAGGAAATTGTTACTATTGAAACTATTTTTATGCAAGTGATTAAATCCTATTGGTTTAAAATTTAGGATTACTTTGATTTGTTCTGAAAGCTGATGAATCTATTCTTATTTGCCTTCTTGAACCGTGTCCAGAACTAGATGATATGCAGTGTTTCATATGTGGCTGAAAATTTAAATCCTAAATACAGATCATCTGTATAAATATTTATACTTGTTAAAAAAATTGTGTTAAAGTTTTCAAGTTAGCAGACACTGTGAAATGTTGCTAACGTCCAAATTCTTTAAATTAATCTGGCAGACTTTCAGGTTTTAATATTTGTATGATGAGAAATATTTTTTCAGGTTTAGTTATAGAATACTCTTAGTTAGCAAGGTCATCTTTAAAACTCTTCTCTGCTGCTAATTGTATAAACAAGCATGTTATCACGAAGATGAGTGATAGTGATGAGTTATCTCCAATGGCACTGCATGATGGATCTTCTTACGGAATCTGACTCCCATGGTATTGGCAGTGAGAATAGGTATTGAATAGACTGCAGACTTGAACTTCTCTGTAGTCAGCATGTGTTGCTTAGCTGAACTGTAGCAACATGTGTGAGCTGGTTGGTCTCCGCAGGGAAGTTCACTTGGACCTTCCATTGATGTCAATAGAGGCTTGTAACCATTTTCAGTTGTCTTATTCTTGCAAGTTACAAGAACAGCCAAACTCTTTCAAAAATGGTAATGCAAGTCTAATTTTCCACAGTATATATTACCTGTTTATGGAGCAAGTAGCTTTTCAGCATTTTTGTGTCATTATGACCTCTTTCTTTATGTATAAATTATATACTACTTGAGCTGAGGCAATTAATGTCACATTTCTAACATGTAAAAATTAGACAGTACTCATTTTGAAGTAATAATCCAGTTTTCAAGGTAATTTGCAATTAGTTTGTTTAAATTCTATCAAATTAGATTTAAAAAAAGTAAAAGCCCAGCAACACTATATTTAAGCGTTTTCTTCTAAGGTTTTTTTAAACTGAATTTTAAAAGTCCAGACTAACAGACTGACAATAAATAGATAAATTTAAATTAGAATGTTTTGAGAAGAGGAAGAAATCAAGGCTTCTGGAGACTTTTATCTCTGAAATTTTACTACAGTTTAGACTTTCAAAGTGCTGCTGTGGTTTAACCCCAGCCGACAACTAAGCACCACACAGTTGCTCACTCAGTCCCCCCCAGCAGGTTGGGGGGAGAGAATTAGAAGGGTAAAAGTGAGAAAACTTGTGGGTTGAGATAAAAACAGTTTAATAATTGAAATAAAATAAGAATAATGATAATGATAATAAATTGTAATGAAAAGGAAAATAACAAAGAGAGAGAAATAAAACCCAAGAAAGACAAGTGATGCAAATGAAAACAATTGCTCACCACCAACCGACCAATGCCCAGCCAGTCCTTGAGCAACGACCCCCCTGCCAACTTCCTTCCAGCTTTATATGCTGAGCATGACGTCATATGGTGTGGGATATCCCTTTGGTCAGTTGGGGTCAGCTGTCCCGGCTGTGTCCCCTCCGAGCTTCTTGTGCCCCCCCCAGCCTACTTGCTGGTGGGGTGGGGTGAGAGGCAGAAAAGGCCTTGACTCTGTGTAAGCACTGCTCAGCAGTAACGAAAACATCCCTGTGTTATCAACACTGTTTCCAGCACAAATCCAAAACACAGCCCCATATCTGCTACTATGAAGAAAATTAACTCTGTCACAGCCAAAACCAGCACAAGTGCTAACTTAATACTTAGAGAAACTTCACTTACAGGTAGAAGAGAGTATTTCTCAAAACTCTGAGTTCAGTGACTTTTAAGTGAAGTGGTAAATAGTGTTAACTTTGGAATCCCAGAAATGATATAATGTTTTTTATATTTTAATATTTACAGATCTTGAGGCTGTTTTTATTGAATTCAGTATGGAAACTTGATGTTTCAAAATGGCCAGAAAATTCCTAATAGAAAAAAATGCAGTGGTTTATACTTTTTTCCCCTTACGCTGTCCCTTGCCTTATTGCAGGCATCTTGGAAAGCATAGGAAAAGATGATAGTAATGAGCGTAACCTCTAAAAAACTGTCATTTAAAAGCTTTTGCCAAAGGTAATGGAGCTATGGGGGGAAAAATGCGTAATAATGCTGTCGGGAGTCTGAAATTTGTTATTAGAAAACAGTGTTTTAAGTTATAGAAGGGCACAGTGTATCCCATCTGCTTTTTCTGACAGACTTTCCAAGCCAGGTGTTCTGTTAGTCCAGCTCTGTCCTGGTTTCGGCAGGGATAGAGTTAATTTCCTTTCTAGTAGCTGGTACAGTGTTTTGGATTTAGGATGAGAACAAAGTTGATAACACACCGATGTTTTAGTTGTTGCTAGGTAATGCTTACACTAGCCAAGGACTTCTTAGTTT